GAGCTGTTTGCAGGGAAGAAAAGCTGACTCTACTGTTATTTCTGTTTAAATACATGCAGATCATCTTCACAATGTTTGTAAAGAAAACCTCCCCCCAACCCTTTGTCTCACAGAAGCAGTGTCTATCTGCAGTGAATAACGCAAGGGGAAATTTATGCCAGAGCCTCCTTTCTCCTGGCAGATCTTCTGACTTGCCAGCAAACAGCTCCCTTGACTCCAGTAGCCCATCTGCAGATGGGGTAGCCTGTTTGCTGTGGGCTTTGCCCCTGCTGCAGTGGCAAATAGGTGCAATGCTGTGGCAAATACGCATTATTCTGCTGCATTTGCTCAGCCGAAGCGGCACAGAGGCCTTCTTACGACTTCCTAGTCTAGTACAAACGGGGTGGGACATCCCCAAGCTGCACCCTGCAGGCTCTCGGACATGACCCTGACCTCACTACTGGGAGGGACCCCACTGAAATTAGGGTGTAAAGCACATCCCCAACTCTCTGCTTGATCCAAACCTTACCGAGATGCGAGAGGACTTTGCTGTCCATTTAGGCTGAAACCCCTACAGCTAAACAAAGCCCCTCTGTGTTTTTCTAAACAGGGCTTCAAGGATTTATTCTTTTTCATAAATTATGGTCTGTCTGCACTGGCTTATGCAAACTTGTCTTGCCAGACAGGAGCCAGCTCCAAACTCAAATCCACGTGATGGGGTAGTGTGCTCGGGATGAACCTAGCTTGCCGGAGACCTATGAGAAGCATGGTATCATCCTGACCAAGATGGTTTGTGTGTCCCAGACCATTTGGGAGGGAATTAGCCCCTCTGCTCCTGCAGTTAGCCAGGCCCTTACATTAGTGTGGTGGCAACCCAAAAGCTAACCATGGTCTCTTCCCCCTCCCCAGTCTCTTTCAGTTATATCTCAGAGTGGGTCTAGCACATCTGATCTCATGATGTTATGAAAATCAAAAACGTGAAACTATCAGAGGCTACACTTTTTAACCTCAGAACTGCCACTGGGCAACCTAAATACCTCTTAACAAGTTAGTCTGAATCCTAAATCTCTCTTCATTCACTGGCTTGGAGTACCTTGAAATTTGGGAGAGGGTCTGCATCAGAAAGCACGGTTGTTCAGAATCTCAGCCTGGTGCACTCACACTCCACACTCCAGTGCTGTTTTTGGATTTTCATGTTTGTTTGGAAAAGACAGAGGGGCACTGAGACCTCGCTCTCTAATTTTGCCCTTTGAGTCTATGTCTTCATTTTGTACTTTTTCTCTTCTAGTTGATCTTGTAAGATCCTTGGTGTAAGATCTACAAAAATCTCATCGGTTTCACTAAAAATGTGGCCTTCACTTTTATGATTCTTCAGGCCTACAGGACAAGAGCTAAAGAATTTCTGTTTGTTCATGAAGAATAGCCTGCGGCAAGATTATGATGGACATACTGACATGTAATCTTTGTTCCTAAGAACTGAAATGAATGACACAATACATGTCAGTATTCACTTAAAAATGGGAAAGACATCTCTTTGAATGTCTGCAAAACAGTGCTCTCCAGAGAAACCCCTTATCATTGTAACTTGTATGCTGTCAAAGGCCATTAAGAATTTTGCTGCAAGACCTATAAAGCCATTCTTTCTATTTTAAATCATTTCTTTTCGTAATGACTATAGGAACATACTAAAGGTAGCAGAGTTGAATTTAGCTGACTTTCTACTCTAAATATTCTACTCTAAGCATTCTATCCACATTTGCTGTTTAACAGCTAGACATGTTTTAATATTCTCTTTTGTAAAACTAACTGCTTTTGCATAGTGAATATATTTGTTCGTTAAGTAAATGTAGTACTTAATGACCGGCCTTTCTTTCTGGATAATGTATTTTTTTCATGTTACTTCCTTAAATTTTTTATTTCATTTACTGAGCTAAAACCACAATTTTCTGCTGTCAAGCTTTTGAATACATATATATTTTAATCATGTGATTTGCCAGTTAACCTATGACTCTTGAAACAGAAAGGAGCAGAGACTGTACAATATGTAGATTGTGCAAACGCAAAGTTAACTGGGCACATTTCCAATTATAAATCAAAGCCAAAACAAGGGGAATTTTGAAGACGAAAGAATGCATGGGTCAAAGTGGAAAAAAGTCTCAGTCATGAGAAAATATTTTCTAAGTTAAACTAAAATAGTTTTGATATTAAAATGATAATGAGGGCAAAACCCAGAAAGAATAAAAGATGTTTTAACCACACCAGAAAATATAAGAGGTTTACCAGCTACAGCAGAAACACTGCAGAGTAGAGTAATGTCTGCATGGAAGAATGCAATAACGACATAAGAAGTAAAGCTTTTTTACTAACGCAAGAAACCAGTGAAGTTCCTTGAGTCAGTGTTAACTTCTCCTTTTTTGACAGGCCAGAGATGCATATGAGAAAACTGCCTCTCTGCTAATGAGCTGAAATATTCTGACAGTGACCCAGATCGGCATCCTCCAGGAGCGTTAAGCAAACCGAGCTCTCAAAACTGAGATGCATTCCTTTCTCGTCCTGTTCCTGCCTCTCAGGCTCTCTGTATCCATCCTGATAACCATCAAACCACAATCTGACAACGGGAGACAGGGGAACCGGCTGGCGTGCTCTGAAACCAGCACAGCCCTTTTGGTACAGGGGTTCAGCGCGAGCTGCCTGGAAGGTCCAGTTCCAGAGCTGAGTCACTTCCCTGCTCCAGTGCTCCAGACACAGCGCTTGGGAAAAAAACAAGAATCGTGTTTTGCATGTATGAGACAGCAACAAGACCCTCCGTTTAAACATCCTTGCGTTAGTCTGGTGCTCTGCATTAGCCTGACAAGCAAGCACAAGCTCAGCTCCTACAGTTCAGTGGGACTCTAAGAGCAGTTCCTTAGCATACGGTGCTGGAACAAAAGGTAGGAGACAATGCCACTGCCACACTCTGCTTTATTGTTAGTGAGCACTGGAGCTTTCTCAACTTCTTGAAAATAGAAATGGTACAAAATGTTTGCTAGTAAAACGTTAATAGCTTCTGATAATAGCTAGAATTTTGAAGAGAGGCCTTTTTATCATTTAAAAATGGATATATTTTAAGGTAAAGATAGTCAATATAAAGTACCTTTTTTGTGAACAAAAAAGAAAACCGAATCTAGGTAAAAAGAGCTAAAATTCAGATCAGATAGACAGACTCAGAGTTAACTAGCAAACCTATTATTTGGATTAAAAAGCCATGTAAAAACATATTAAGAATGCAGTCAAGAGAACTTAAAGTAGAAAGAAAAATGTTTTTCTCCATACTTTTCACAGAGGTAGTACAGAAGGGTATACGGAAATCCAGTCACAGCAAAAACAAACAAGCAAACACAAGGCAGCAAAACAGAACTTTAAAGCTCGAGATAACCAGAAGTTGTGCTTACCTTAAAATTGTGTGCTTTTTCATAGTTGAAATGGTTGTCATTCTGAGTTAAGGCTGCTCTTCTGACCAAGGAGGTGATCTGTGAATAGGCAAAGAGTTTCAGAGGTTGCCACAAAAGTGCCCCCTTTACTCCCACCTTCACCCCCAAGGCCACGGCCAGGAGCTCTTGGCGTTTCCTTCCACGCTTCGACTTGTGAACCACCGCACAGTTCTTCTCATTTTCGAGCCACAGCTCCTCAGAGAACATAGCGCTGGGATCCCAAATCTTTTCCCTGTCTTCCTCGGCGCCCGGCAGGCTCACTGCAGTCAGTACGGTACAGTTTGTCCAACTGCTTCTAATGTTAGTGAGCAGATTTGAAGCAGCTGCAGTCCATTCTGCCGAGACCTCAGGCATGTGACCTGAATGGGCCGTCTTGTGGGATGGAAGGAGCTTCTGCATCTGAATAAGTAACGGCCTGTGCCGTGCTATTTCTTAAGGCAGATGTGTGCCTGAAACAATAGCCTGAATTCATACACTGAGCAGCCTTCCCCCTGGAGAGCCCCCTCCCCACGCTGTGGCATCCAGCGAGGTATGGATGAAATACCGGCTGGCAGGCAGCTTTATAGCTTCATGTCCAAACACATTTCAAGGGAAAGACCGCTTCTACTCCATTGCATGTGAAAAATGAAGACACAAACAAAAAGCCCAGGAAAAGCCCACACGACCGAATCCAATGCTGCGTCCAATTACACTCAGACTTGGAGGCTTATAAGCCAGCAGCCTGCATGCCCGCGGATTAAGCCCTTTAAACCATGGTGATTGTTTAATCTCGCAGGGCTAAAATCTCTCCTTTTTCATATCCTACACAAGGGAAAAGTCCAGTAGCACTCCAAAGATTAATACCACTTTGATGCCATCTTTTAAATCACAACATTTTGTCAGAGTGCACTCCACAGTCCAGAGTTAGATGGAGGAAGCTGAAAACGCAGCTGCGAGGACGCGGGCTAGGAAGCCCTATGCAGTGTCCCAGTGAAGGCCACAGAGCCTCCTGGCGACATAGGAAGGCCACGTGCATAGCCCCGCTTGCAGGAGTGGGGTCTGTATAGTGAAAACAACAGTTGTCCTTCACTCCGGTTACATTCGATGCAGATTTGGGGGGGTGGTGGGGAGGAAGTGATTTCTGATTAAAGCAAAGGGACAGGAGAGATCTGGAGCCTGACTAGTCTCCACTACTGTTTGCTGTTACTTTAGGCAACTTACTTGTTTCTCTGCGGCCAGGTATTTGCTCCTTCCCTGGACATGGAAAATGAAGGGAAAACTCAGCTCCCTGACACACGACATTAAAGTATTTGAGTTAACACATTCATGTTAACTTGAGAAGTTGCCTCTTTTTTTGTGTATGCTTTTATCTCAGCCTGAAAAGCTAGAAGGTTCATCTAGCTCACCTACTAAAAGTGCCACCACATAGACTGCATGCCCCTAATAAAAGTGCTGCTCTATTGATTTGAAAGCCCGTGGAGACAGATGGTCAGCCACCAGTAACATCAGGCCCTGCAATTTCATATAGTGCTCTACTTAAGGCTTTCATGAAGCCCTGCAATCCAGTCCAGTTATAAAATGAGGCATTTATTTCTATGTATAACATATGTAATTCCTTTCTTTCCCAGGTAACTCATAGCACCTCTTTTTACAAGCTACGATATTCCAAAGTTATGCTGTAGGTAGGGTGTCCACACAACCTCGTTGCCCCCGGAGCAGTGGCTACCGCATGACCCTTCCCAAATGCATGGCACTGCCAACTGACCACCACTGTCAACTGGCTGCGATGGATGTATTAATATTGCTCTGCCTGGAGGAAATCCCTGCTGCTCTTCCATATGTCCTCCTCCTGGTAAGTCTCAATTTCTGCCAGCCCAGGACCTTTACCTTCTACGAGACAGACCGCACGTCCCCAGCTCGCTCTGAACGCACTTCATGTAATGAGGAGTATCGGTGTGGGGGTCACCCCAACTGCCCCCAGAGGCAGTGACTTCACTTTGGGCCATGAGGAAAGAAACTTTGAAGCTGTTTAAAGTTCTTATCACACCCCAGCTTCTTTTCTCAGTGCCGTTTTAAATGCATTTACATTTATCTGTCAGAGGGACAAAGAAAAACAAACGAGCTTTGAGCTTTTAGAAACTTCTGGAGCTGCAGCTTGTGAATCCCAATGTATATATCAGATACTTCCTCTCTGACTTGCAGCATAACTGATCCAAAGTCAGAGAGAGGTCAGCTTCCAAATAATGCTCTAATATTTGTATTTACGTCACTAGACTGATAAAAATCCCATTATGCAACCAGTATTTTTTACGTAACATCACAGATTTGATACCCAAGCTACCAGCTTATGATGCTACATCTTAGAATATTTATTAAACTATTTTTAGACTATGGCAGTGTCATCCTAGGAACAGGCACACATTCAATGGAAACTCTGGCTGTTCTCATAGAAGCATTACATTTCATTGACTTGGGAGGAAGAAAACTCAGCTAATTGAGTTCATATGACTAAGGCAGATCAGTATTTACTGTTCATCATAAATGAAATTTTATTTATCAGCTAGGCAACTTTTTCTGTCTTGCTAGAGCCCTGTTTAGATATTTGTTTAATGGATGTAAATGTAGGATGTGCACAGGCGGCCAACAGTGAGTGCATGCCCTTAAGAAGCTTAATCATTCAAACCAGGTTTAGTGTTTAAAATGGTGTTGCACAACTGAGAAGAGAAGAGCTGGGGCACAAAACAGCTCCTTCCCTCTCTAAATAAAGAACAAACAACAGCAACATGAAATTATCAAAAGTAATCAGTTCCAAAGTACTGATATCCTAAGCCAATCCAAGTACTGAAGTGCTTTCTTTTATGCATTTTCTTTTTCTTTACCTAAAATTTCCTGCATAGGACAGTTGATCAACTCATTTAAAGAGTGAGTATCTCCTAATCAAGTTAAAAAGTTAGCCTCCAGCTAAGGCAGAGAATGCCAGTGGCTAAAAATATTTTGATGGTTGTGACCAAATATCTGAACTAGTGAAGACTGAAAACCGAATATGGGGTTGCCTGCATTTTCAGACTAAAGGATTTCTGCCTAACATATGATTTTAGTTTGTTAGTCTCTCTGTAAAACATATGTACTGTACAGCAGATTAGGCATTTACAGCAAAATAAATGTCACCGAACCAGAATAATAAAATAAAAGGAGGGGGGGAAGAGTGTTATTCAGCTGTTGCAACATTTTCAGCATGCCTTTGTAGAACGAGCTGAACTATGCAATTGTATCTTCCCTAAAACACTACCATCTTGTTTGCTAACAAAGACCTTGGGGGTAGGAAAGAATAAATTTTAGTATGAAAAGCTTTCGTTTTTGCACATGTTGCATGATTCCAGTTTTAATCATGTGGGCGGCACTAAAACTTGCTGAAAGCAAGCTGTGGCTCATCCTGCGTGTTTGTGTGTGGGAATAAATACTGCCCTACTCCTCTGCCCTGATTACAATGTGCAGGGACGTGCTGTGTACACTGCGGAGAGCTACCACCTCTCTCCTCCCCTTCCCAGCTGCCCCCACGCATGTGCATGGCAGGCAAAGGAGGGCTACTGAACAGCAGACCCTTCCCATTTTGCCTGCCACCTATAGCCGGCACAGCACTGGCACACGCATGTCCCCTTGGACAAGACCATGAATCACAAAGAAGATCGCTCTGTGATCAGGAATTGTGGAAACTCCGTGGCTGATCTCTAACTCAATACATTTAACGCTACACATAAATGCAGTCACAGGTCAAAGGGAGGCCTGTTTCCTCCTAGGCACGGCATATTCAGCAATCTGCCAGACACATTATGTTTGCTCAATTGAAAACACAATGTGGAGATGACACGCAGTGCAAGAATCTTGCAACTATTGATTTTCCCCTGGTTTTGACAAGTTCTTCTCATGATGCTCTCATCAGACGACTCAAAAGAAACCAGCGGGTAATGCAGTAATGTAAGTGCGCTGTTAACAAAACACAAGGCACCAAGGGGAAACGATCATGAACACTAGTCAGTGAAAGGCTTTAGTGGTACAATAACGCATCCAGTCTGCATCTCCTACTGCAAAAACACTAGAAGCCTGACATTAAAAGGCTTCCACACTGTCGAAACAGTGGGAGAAAACAAGCCCAAAGCAGAAAATGTACTAAACACGAAGCAGAGCACAATGTCTGTAGAGTGGCACTTGTGAATCTGATCTTACAAAATACACCTCCCCAAGAAATTCTCCCTTTGACAAGAAGTCTCTTGACATCAGTTAGGTGCACAGAGATGACAGAGGTGTGTAGGACCGTGAAGCTCTGCAACACAAAGCCTGGAGATAAGGAAGGAGTCAGACAGCACTGGTCTGCCGCTGCTCTCTGATTTGCTTTTGAGAGGAAAACAATCCACATCCCTTCAGGGAAGCTTTTGATGGAAGTTTCCATCTGAAGGAAGGTCCTACTCTCACATTTACTGAGATTCACCAGAACTGCCAGAGGAGCACAAAGCTCTCCACAGAAAATAAACATACACAAAAAATAAGTAATGTTAAGTGGCTGACAACCTCCTCTGTTCAGCAAAACTCCGGCTGAAATGACTAACAGCTTCCCCTGAACGCAGGTTGGTCTGAACTCCTCAGGGATGCAGTTTTGCCCACAAAGAACCCAATAATCGAGCTGTTCCAACACAAAACTTCTTTTCAGGTGAGCTGGAGTTCTGTAAGCTGAATATCATCAAGGTCTGGCCTCATTAAAAAACAGCACTGCGGGTTTTTCAAAGCGTTAAAATATATCTGTATTTGTCTGCTCTTTACTCCTCAGAGTTTGAACCTTTTTTCTTCCTGTTTAAGAATAACAATTGTCTCGGCAAATTGTGAGTCAGAAGACCGCCAACAATATGTCGTACGTGTTTAAGGTGGCAGACTGTCTGTACGGGGCCACCCTTCTGGAGAATCTGGATGTACATCCATCACCACCAAATCCCACAGTCTAACTTTGTACAAAACGGGTTTATATGCCTTCCTCCTCACTGAGGAGAGCTATATTGCTGTTTTGTGGTTGCGGGTGGGTTTTTGGAAGGTCTCTTAAGGACTGCTGTTGGCCCGTGCAAACCAGAGTAGTCCCAAGAGTCCCTCACATGAATTAAAGAAAAGAATAATTCCCCCTCGCCATGCACACTGTTTCAGTGAGCCTGAAGTCACCATACTGCAGAGTCTGCCCTCACTGATGTCCTTTTCTTTTGAGGATAACTCAGTTCAGAGCAAAAGGAATCTCACATTTAGGAAGATTTCTGCAGTAAATTTTCTAAAGTTCTAAATTCAAATCTTTACACCTCTCCTATATTAGTATCGTTGTTTAACAGCATCACAGTGACCAATTGTTGTTTATATCTGCTTCTTTCTGAAAGGGTGCCCAACCCCTTCCCCTGCAGATAAAAGACACGAATTACCTGTGGCAAATGGAAATATAAACTGTGCTAAACTTCAGATTTCTTTTTTAAATCCTTCTCAAACAGATTTTTTCTGTGCACACCATGATTGTTTTTCTCAAAACAATGCAGTGAAACCAAAGAGTACAACAGCCAGAGGTGAAATGCTGTAGATTCAGAAAGGCACTAGAGAGACTATTACTAAAAATAATACCTGCTGTAAACCTCTTATGGAGTATTAATAAAATAAACTATTGTCTATTATGGAACAACAACTGGAGGTTACATTAAGTGGTGTGCAATTACGCATTCATGTCCAATTAAAAACAATAGGTGGACTAAAACCTTTTATGTTGTCATGTAATTGTAGCACTTAATGTGTTAAGCTGTGTATTTAAATGCCCATCATTATATTCAATAGATCTAAAATAGAATCTTTATTTCTGATTTTTGTAAACTATAATAAATACACGTTGTATTACAAATATATTGTAGGATCAAGAAATACATCCAGAAATAAGGGAAGGATCTGAGTATAGTACCAACTAATTCCACGATTCCCCTGAATAACCCTGCAGAGATTAACATGGTAACAGCAGGTCTAGCCTATTTATTGCCTTGACTTCCTTTCTTTCCCTCCCACTCTCTCTTTTATCCTTTCCAATCTAGCTCCATACTTGTCAAAGTTATTAATGACATTTTCCTGGACAAGTTCACGAGCCTGTCCCTTGTGCTTAACATTCATTACCCAAATGGTAACAGCTGGGTGAAAGAGGGAAGGTTAAGGGCTAAAAGGGGCAGACCAGGGGGCAGCCAGCACTGCTGCTGTGGTGGAGGACGAGGACATCCCCCCCCCAGTCAGGTCCCCCCCCGCCAGCGGTGGCCAGCCCGGGAGGAGCAGGGATGAGGATCCCAGCCAACAGTGCCAAAACGTTTCCTTTGGCTCTACTCCACACTTGCTCCTTTTAACAGTACAAATAGTTTCTGATCCTCCCTGGGTTGATATATTATTCTCTCTCCTTCTGATTTCTCTTTATTATCTTCCTGTGTGGTTCCTGTTCCCACCTTTGCTGTCAAGAACAATGCAAATTTTGTCATCGGTCCCCTCCAATATGGGTTCCTTGGCACCCTGATCTGCTTCCATATTTTCAGCTGCTCTTTGGTGTCAATGACTGCCAAATCTCTCCCTCTATGCTTTTGTCATCCTCTTTCATA